CAGCTATTGAAACTAGCCTTAACCCCGAGGCACTTTTAGCTAACCCTCCTAGCTCTTTAGTGACTCCTCTCATCACTGTCGTATCAATGGCACCTACCCTAACTGCATCAGTGACTCAAATCACTGAAGGTGTGAATATCAGCGTCGCCACCGCTGAGCACCCACGTCTCTTCTCAACCATTTTATCTTATCCTCCTTCTTTGGTCTTTACACGTGTTGATGATGTATCAGCGACCATCCTCCCTGATACTGAAACACACACCACTGGACTTTGCTCCTCAGCATACAAATGTCCATTCTTTCGAGGACATCTTTGCTCATGCCAGTGACAATCCTTTCGATGTCATTGATGACCCCTCAGGTATTCCATCCTCCTACCCTTTCATTTCTACTAACGTTGAGCATCTTGTTGCTCACTCTTCCTCTATTGCAGGTCCTTCTTCTATGCATCAGCCAGATAATGAAGAAGAGAAGGAAGCAAACGGAGGGATGAAGAGATTGATATGACTATGATATGGCATCTGATGTCAAACTTCTCCTACCAGCCGTTGATTCAGTTTTCTGCAGGATGACTGAAGTTCACAAAGAGATGTCCCGCAAGGCTGACCTTGAAGCGGACCTCTCAGCCTTCCGAGCAAACGTTCAAGAAGTTCAAAGTCAGCTCTCGACTCTCCAAGACACTGTTAGAGCCAAAGCTGAAGCCATTGTTGTTCTCTCCAGCAAGGCTGATGATGCTCAGGCCCTCTCTCTTCAGCAAACTGGACTTCTTCAGCAGATCCTGGATGCTGTTCGTCAACCAACTTTAGTGATCCCGCCTTCTTTCTCTGCTGATGATCATGCTCAGCTCAATGAGACACTTGAGGCAACGACAACTCTAGCCAGTGCTCTGTCAAGGCTAGAGAAAATGATGGTTCTTCAGCATCACCGCGTAGACGAACTCTCTGGCTTATACTCTCAAGTCTTAGCCAGAGAGGGGGAGATGAGGTCCAACACTGCTGGACCATCTGATGCTGCTGATGCTCCTGATTCTGCTGCTGCTCCAGCATTCTCTGCAGCTGAAGCTCCTAGAGCTGAAGTTGTAGCTGCTTCTGTAATCTCGACCACCGAAATTGTTTCAGCTGAGGCAGTCGATGTCATCCCTAAGGATGATGCTCTTCTCATCACCGCTGCTGCTGGTGATGATGATGATGAAGACGAAGATGATGATGATGATGAAGATGACGAACCTACCATCCCAGACCCCGGAAGTGACCTAGATGGTGATGATGGCAATGATGATGAAGATGACTTTACCATCAAGTATCAAAAGCCAACAACCGCCACCAAGGGAGTCACCCTCAGGGATTCTACATCCCAGGGGGAGCAAAGGGAAGGAGAGTCTGCTCCATCAAAGAACCAGGACCACAAGTCAAAAGACAAAGCGGTCGCTGAAGAAGGGAATCTAAAGGTACCTCTCAACCCTTGTTTGAAGACTTTACCTCTCAGGTAGTAGTCACTTCTCTGTATCAACTTCAAATTCCATCAACTACCTGCGGTCGACTGGAGTGGGTCCCTGAAAACCCTGTCTTCAGTGCTCTCATCGACCAGCAGATGGCTCAGCTAAAGGAGTCACTCAACCAGACTAGAGTAAAATTCCCTTTTCGTACCTCTAGTGGTGGTGAGTTTGACTTCTTTTCAGAAGCTGAAAGACTCGAGGCATTAAAGGTTGAAGAAGAGCTAGAGCTTCAGAAGAAGCAGAGTGAAGACAGCTTAAAGCTGGCCAAGTCACTAGCTGCGAAGATTCTCCCCAAGAGAAAGTCCAAGAAGAAGGTGAACGATGTCCAAGCCCAAGCTAAACTTCTTTCCATTGCAAAAGCTGAGCATGAGAAGAACCTGAAGCTGGTGGAAAAGGACAAGCGATGGAGCGAAGCAAAGCTGAAGAAAAGAGTCAGTCCTCGCCCAATCATCAACGTCAGCATCAACGGACGTTCAAAAGATGGTGGAATATTGGTTTCAATGCTCATCACCAGAGACAATCTCGATGCCATCACCGAGTACCCTTCCTACCTTGGCCGATATGGATACAGCGAATGGATGGAGATCAGGCAAGCCATTCAGCGATCCAAGTCAAGACATAAGGCGATTATCGAGGACACCATCAGCGATCTCATCAAACGGATGTCCAGGTATGTCGCAGGCCTTCTCTAAAGAGAGATGGGAAGAAGAAACACAAGCTCTCTGATCCTAATGATGGACCATTCCTAAGGAACGAACATGAAACAAGGTTCTTCTTAGATGAAATCCTAAAGGGTCATGAGAGTATAGACATTTCTATGTTGAATCTTGACTTGCCAGACAAGGGTCCCTATACACCCAATGTTGTGCATTTCAAACCTGAGTTAGGAGTTATATTCCTTGACTATGAAGGTGAGGTCAGATTTCAGAGAATGTCAGAGCTACATCTATGTCCAACGGGTCATTTGGTTTACCTCTTACTCTGGATAGATGATAGCATGCCTGGAAAAGTCGTGGACTTGAAGATACGAAGGGAATGCCTACGTCGAAGAAACCTTGGTGAAGATGTACCTAGCTACATAGATCTGAGTGTTCTAGAATAGGTTTTCTTTGTAATATTGTTCACTTTTCCTTGTAAATCTATTTTACTATGTCTACTTTCAGTGATTAATCTTCTAGTCTATAAGTATTAGACATGTACTGAACTACTTGTAATATTACCAATGATAATAAAATAAGTATTTCTTGTACTTCACTGAAAAAAATCCCTGAAAAAAGTAGTAGAAACACAAGTCTATGAGTTCCAGTGTTAATTTTTACATTCACTGACAATCTATAAGTCAGTGAATAAGCTTTCAATTTCAGTTTTTATCCTTGTAATTTTCACTTAGATATAACTTAAAGAAAATTCTCAAGCAAAGACTGACTCACTGAAAAAGATCCCAAAATAGTAGAAAGGGACATGCACTTTATATGTAACTTTTTCTTACTATTATTTGATAAGACAACTTTCTTTATGTTGTCTTGTTATCATCAAATAGGGGGAGAATGTTGATCCTCTCTCTCAGTGATTTGATAATAATCCCTTTTCACTTATACATTGTATTTATGTTTCTGTATTTTCAGTTCCAGC